CATCAGATTTAGACGAAGAGTGAAGCTGGACTGCTTTGAAACGAGCTGTGTGACATCTGTAAACGAGAGAGCTTGGAAGCTCAGGGCCCTACGCTATGCTTTTTTGCCTTGATGACCTAAACAAAAAAAAGCATAGGGATGTTATAAATTCTTTAAAAAAATCCTTTTTTTTTAGACATAACCTGGGATTCGAACCCGCACTATCGCGCGCCCTGCATGCATCCCCCGATACACTTCGCATACATACTAATTCTTCCAAGTTGTTTCACATTGTGATCTTGCATTTGAAAGCCCTATTTGAATATGCATTGTGGCCAGCCGTCTTTGATGGCACGGTACGGTAGGGGATATGTACGGGACAGGTACGATCGAGGTTAATACGACACCGTCTCCCGTACCGTACCGTACCATCAAACACAGCTGGCCACATACAGCTGCCCGCAATATTCAAATAGGGCTTTCAAATGCAAGATCATAACGTGAAGCAACTTGGAAGAATGGGTATGAATGCGAAGTGTATGGGGGAATGCATGTAGGGCGATAGTGCGGGTTCGAATCCCAGGATATGCCTGAAAAAAATAGGAGAATTGAAAAATGTATACCATCCTATGCTTTTTTGCCGTCAGATACGGATAGCGCCAGGCGTGACACAAACAAACACACAAACACACAAATACCAAATTAAAGCTGGGTGGACCCTGGCTAGCGCCAGACGTTACTGAAGTACCGTCTTCTGCATAGCTACGGGAATAATATCTTTCATAATAATGCTGCCTTGTTTTCCACTTTGAAAAGCATGTTCGTAGCCATATGGCCCAATATCTGAGAAAATCGACCTTCGGGGCTGTTTTGGTGAAATTGATTTTTTATTGCAAATTGATGTCTTGCCTTTGTAGAGTATTGTGACTTCGTTTCACGGCCATCAGACCAATATTGACCATGTAGAAATGCATTTTACAGTCAGGAGTCATGTTAATGAATTGTTCTTTTTTTACAATTTTGAAAGATCAGTGTGTTTGGAGCCACCAAAAATTGTTTCCATGTGATATCACTAGCCAACTAATATAGTAAAGTGTTTTGACTGTTCAGGTACTTCATTTCCAGCATTCCGTGACTTTATTGAGGTTGTGTAGTTGCAACAGCAGCAATAGCAGCATTAGAAGGAGAGGTGATTTATCTGTTCTCCTGGTGATGGACATGCTTGACAGGATAGTCTGCAACAGATTTTGACGGAACACCATGATACATGTGACAGCATTCACATACGTATTGTGAAGGAGTCAAACAGAGCAAATGCGTCCAGATTCGCCTTGTTGCACTTTGTGGAGACTGACCATTTCCAAACATCAGTAAACCAGGCTGACAAGCGTTTCACACCACCAACTCAAAAGTAACAGAATGTTACTCGAGATTGCCCAGCCTCATGTGCTCCGTGATGGTCTGATTCGCCATTATTAGCTCGAGTATCGAGCTTGCCATCCCAAACATTTTAGGATCATCGTCGCAAAGAAAACTCGCATCATTTCGTGCTGTTTTAGCAGGTCTGGCGTGACACTCAGGAAACAGTTCTGCCACTCGCGAAAAGGCGCCCAGCGACCTTGCAAGCGGCGTACCCTCAGGAATCCACCTGGTTGTCCTTGCCTGGAGCTGTAGCAGCTATCGCTGAGGCAGACTGTGGTTGGCCTTGATCATACTCATCCAGGCCAAGTCCTCATCATCGTCGCCCCCGACAGGTAAGTACCGCGTGTCACTTGCGATCGATTCGCCTGACATGCGCTCTCAGAACTAGAAGCGCTGTCGCCGCTTGACAGGATATCCACAAAGAACGATCCATCACCGTCCATGGGATCGCGGCTGCTGTGCTCCGTGAGCCCAATAACCAACTGACACAAGAATCGCCTTCAATTTTATTCCGCCATTGTCGTCTCTGCACTTTGCTTTGACGGAATCGATTTTTTTGCGAACAAATTTGTTTTTAGTGTTTTCTCAAAAAAAACGCGTAGCCCCGAAGGTCGAAAGTCTCAGATATCGGGTCATATAATGATTTGGACTTAACTGTAAAAACGCAACGTAGTTTTGCTTAACGGAGGAAGTAGTGGAACTGGTGCAGGGAGATGGTGTTTCACTTAGGGTTAGATTTCATAGAGCACAACCGTGCCTTGCTGTTACAAGATATATATACTGTGTGTGCAGGGATAGTATGGATATACATGTAAGAATAGCTATATTGTGTGTGTAGGGATAGTATGGATATAAGAATAGCTATATTGTGTGTGTAGGGATAGTATGGATATAAGAATAGCTATAATGTGTGTTTAGGGATAGTATGGATATAAGAATAGCTATATTGTGTGTGTAGGGATAGTATGGATATAAGAATAGCTAAATTGTGTGTGTAGAGATAGTATGGATATAAGAATAGCTATATTGTGTGTAGAGATAGTATGGATATAAGAATAGCTATATTGTGTGTAGAGATAGTATGGATATAAGAATAGCTATATTGTGTGTAGAGATAGTATGGATATAAGAATAGCTATATTGTGTGTGTAGAGATAGTATGGATATAAGAATAGCTATATTGTGTGTGTAGGGATAGTATGGATATAAGAATAGCTATATTGTGTGTGTGTAGGGATAGTATGGATATAAGAATAGCTATATTGTGTGTGTTGAGATAGTATGGATATAAGAATAGCTATATTGTGTGTGTAGGGATAGTATGGATATAAGAATAGCTATATTGTGTGTGTAGAGATAGTATGGATATAAGAATAGCTATATTGTGTGTAGGGATAGTATGGATATAAGAATAGCTATATTGTGTGTGTAGAGATAGTATGGATATAAGAATAGCTATATTGTGTGTGTAGGGATAGTATGGATATAAGAATAGCTATAATTGTGTTTGTAGGGATTGTATGGATATAAGAATAGCTATATTGTGTGTGTAGGGATAGTATGGATATAAGAATAGCTATATTGTGTGTGTAGAGATAGTATGGATATAAGAATAGCTATATTGTGTGTGTAGGGATAGTATGGATATAAGAATAGCTATATTGTGTGTGTAGGGATAGTATGGATATAAGAATAGCTACATTGTATGTAGGGATAGTATGGATATCAGAATAGCTATATTGTGTGTGTAGGGATAGTATGGATATCAGAATAGCTATATTGTGTGTGTAGGGATAGTATGGATATAAGAATAGCTATATTGTGTGTGTAGGGATAGTATGGATATAAGAATAGCTATATTGTGTGTGTAGGGATAGTATGGATATAAGAATAGCTGTATTGTGTGTGTAGAGATAGTATGGATATACGAATAGCTATATTGTGTGTGTAGGGATAGTATGGATATAAGAATAGCTATATTGTGTGTAGGGATAGTATGGATATAAGAATAGCTATATTGTGTGTAGGGATAGTATGGATATAAGAATAGCTATATTGTGTGTGTAGAGATAGTATGGATATAAGAATAGCTATATTGTGTGTGTAGGGATAGTATGGATATAAGAATAGCTATATTGTGTGTGTAGGGATAGTATGGATATAAGAATAGCTATATTGTTTGTGTAGGGATAGTATTGATATAAGAATAGCTATATTGTGTGTGTAGAGATAGTATGGATATAAGAATAGCTATATTGTGTGTGTAGAGATAGTATAGATATAAGAATAGCTATATTGTGTGTGTAGGGATAGTATGGATATGTTAGGTACCTCCTCCCGGTACCTTTTCTAGCTGGCCTGCATGCACTCGCGTACTCACCTTTTGTCTCCTTTTGTTCCGTTGGCCTGGGTAGCTACTTGTGCGCCCATAATTGCCATAGCTACCCAGGCCCTTTATCTTGCCGTTCAGACTTGATCTCTCTCTCTCTTTTCTCACTCTTCAATAATCACCATGTAGTCGTTTCGTTCGTCTTGGTCTCTTGTCCCGTCTCTAATAAATGTCGTTCCACCAACCTACCTGTTCCCGTTGTTATGTCTGGATAATGTGTCGTCAGTCATCCTTTCTCATATTCAACATTGGCGCCCGATTATTGATCGACCCACGACGCTGAGATCATCCCATGCCCAGCCGTCCTCAACCGCCATTCGTCTCGTCTCGTCCATGTCAGTCTCGTCTCTCCTACGCCAACCTCGTCTCGTCTCTATCAACCTCCTCTCCTACGCCAACCTCGTCTTGTCTCGTTCAAGCCATGCAGGTCAGCTACCTTTCTCTCTTTCTTTTTTTTGTATGCGTTCCTTCTTCGTCAAATTTAATTTCGTGAATTTTTTGTTGTGTGTGTGCGCGCGTGTGTTCATAAAACATTAACAAATTAGGGGTCCGATCATGGTGAGCCACGCTCTAATTTTTGGATGTTTAGCAAAAGTGTAACTAGGCTGTATTTGCCGTGCAAAATACTAGTAATTCACGTTCCTCGTCAAACTCCAATAGTTATTACACACTATAAGTAGTACAGGAATGATCGGTAGTGCATATTTAGTACACACTTTTGTGAGATCCGTGCGATATGTGTGTGTGTTTTTCTCCTTCAGTCATTTTTTTAAATCTTTTTCTCTCTTTTTTTTCTCTCCGCGAGGACGCGGGATTTTTTTTCATGGAGGGGTGGTATGTTAGGTACCTCCTCCCGTACCTTTTCTAGCTGGCCTGCATGCACTCGCGTACTCACCTTTTTTCTCCTTTTGTTCCGTTGGCCTGGGTAGCTACTTGCGCGCCTATAATTGCCATAGCTACCCAGGCCCTTTATCTTGCCGTTCAGACTTGATCTCTCTCTCTCTTTTCTCACTCTTCAACAATCACCATGTAGTCGTTTCGTTTGTCTTGGTCTCTTGTCCCGTCTCTAATAAATGTCGTTCCAGCAACCTACCTGTTCCCATTGTAATGTCTGGATAATGTGTCGTCAGTCGTCCTTTCTCGTATTCAACAGATATAAGAAAGGACTTGCTTTTTTTTTGTTTTCGTTTTTTTTTGGACAACTTTGCAGTTCAATCTGCCATGCGCAGTGACCTGGACGGAAAAATCAGAGTTACTGCTGTATCAGCTGCCGTGGAAGGCCCTCTCAAGAAGGTGAGTTTTTGTCACACTAGTATTGTACCGTGTTTGCCAGAGTGTAGTTCAAACTTTAGATACGCTATTTCAGGCCGCAAGTCGCTGGTGAGCACTGTGCTCCAAATATGAGAATATTTGCACTTTCAAAGTGGTCTAATGACTATGGATGTCACTGTAGTCAAATTTACCACATCTGAGTCCATGACTACACAAATCATATTCATAGATTTCTGGTGTCTTCTGCCAGCTACACTGCAAATTCAAGATGTGTATGAAACACCATATGTTACACTTGCATTTACAGATGTAATTTGTATGAAAATGTTGGCTCTGATCACACTATAGTACTGTCTTTGTAATCAAAAATATTCTCAAATCACGACTGCGTAATATACTCTGGATATACCTTGAGTTGCCTTAAAATTTGGCAAAATTAGGTCTGTGTATTATGCTCAGGTGTGCTTTATACTCTGGCAATTAGGGAAGTTATTTTGTGTTAGAATGCATACTGGCATGTTTGCATTTGTCACGCACCACTACTTAACCCTTTTCGTGCCAGGAGCGCATATATGCGCTCTGAAACATAACGTGCTTGACCATGAGCGCATATATGCACAAAAAAATCGCGCATTATCCCTTTATGGACTGCAAAATTTGTACAGGAAAGAAGCGACATGCGAAACTCAGTAATAACTCGAAATCGGTGTGCATTAGCCAATACACCACCATACATTTTTGGAAAGTAAATAGGATAAGCTGTCCAACATCATCCTCGCCACCGCTCTCGCTACTAGCAGTATCAGCAAATCCATCAGATATATTGTTTTCTTGAATTTCTGGGATATCATCATCACTATCACTGTCCACTTCGAACTCGTCGTCATCAGACTCATCAAGTAGGTCGCCAGAACTGTCCATGTTAGAGTTCCAGTTCAGAATCATGCCGATGGCATCGATGGCATCGTCGGTATCGTCGTTCCATGACAGTACTCGTACTGCAATGTTAGTTCTGCGGAAGCTCTCAATTTCTTTCTTGCGCGGCCGATTTCGTCAACATTTTGACTAGGGACCCCCGGCGAATTTAGCACCATTGGAAAGATATGGATTTCGTCTTTCGATTTGTGTAAAAAAATATCGCCGAAAACGTGCGGTGCGCCCAGAAAAATTCGCGTTTCAATTTTCGATCTTCTTCTTCTTCTTATTATTATTATTATTAGATCAAAACTCGTACAGTCCGTCCACAAAGGGTTATATCGCAGTGCATATATCGCAGTGCATATATCAGTGTACAAACTATGGTAAATCCGTGACGCATAAAGACAATCAATACACCAAAGGAAAGGTCTTGAGGTTATCTTTCCGAAGATACAAATTTCGTCGCTATAGGATAATGACTCATTGAGCGGCGACATGATGAACACCGAGATCACGGCCCGGGGCAAACGCGATTTTTTTGGTTTATGACTTCCCAGTTATTCGGAGCAGGCTAGGGATTTCTCTTTGGCACCACGCATGAGTGATGGACATCAAATAAAGTGCTTGGATTTCAGCTTTCCAGCGGAGTTCGAACCGTGAAAATCGGTTGAATTTGGGCAAGATGCTGAACAAGAACGTGAAATTGAGTTGTGCCGTTCCGAGGCACGGTGGAGTAGTTTGGAGAGGAGGTGGAAGTGGCCCTGGTGTGTCTATGTCGCTGAGATCTACCATGATGGATTTGCTTGGTCCTGATCTTTCCAACGAGCCCAGGATGATGAAAATCCATCAAGGTGGAGTGAAATGAGAATAAATTTCGTTCAGAGCTGTGTGCGCAAACTACACAAAGAGAGTCAGTGCGCTGGACAGCCGGCCGATTGGAGAAAAGGGGCCACAGCATGGCAAGGGTTAAGTGCTATGTGGCATTCCACTTGCATTGCCAATGCAGAGCTTTGCGCATGCCTAGCCTGACGTCACATGTCACATGGATCTTCCATGGTAACGCCAACCAACATGGTGTCGTTCGTGCATGTGCATGACTGCTTGCTTGCTTTCGCTTTCTTTTTTGATGTTGGCTACACTGCAAAGTCATATTATTGGCAACTCTTAGCTTGTGCTAGAATCAGATTTTCATTCTCTCATCTCCACGCTTCAAAATCAGACTTCATTGATGGCTGTTGGTGCCTGAAACAATGCCGTCGTCTACTGTGGACTTGCTTTTATTAGCATCTGATTTTCTGAAATATATTTACGCTTCAAAATCAGACTTCAGTGACACCTGTGCATGTTGGCTCAGAGATTGCTGTATGACATGGAGTACACAGCATTCAGATGACTCTGCCGCTCTCACCATGGGCATGTGCGAATTGCTAGTCGGCCCTTCGTCCATTTTGGGTCCATCTGGGATTCGAGAAGTAATTTGGGATGAAGTTCATTCTGCCATCACGGACAAGGTTGGAACCTCTGTCTTGCCGCAACCATGGACAGTACTAGCGTCACCAGCTGTGTTAGCCGACACTGGCAAGAGTGCTGCATACTCAACTCCCTGCTGGCTGGGTGATCAAGATAGGTGCTTGGGAATATGATGACTGTGGGTTCATATACTGCTGGAACTTCTCTGACCAACTGTTGCCTTAGACCTTGGAGGCAGTTGATAACCATAAGTCTTTTTTGCTCAAATTTAGTTCTTCCGGTGATGCAATATCAGTTGAAGCGGTGGTGGGCACCATTCTGCATGCTATCACAACTTGGTCGGCAGCAGGTTATTTTCAGTAATGCACTTCCATCACACTGCAGGAAGGCTGTTATCCCAGTGCATGGATTTTGCAGGTCACCAGGCAGTATTTCACAGAGGCTTTGTAAAATCAGCGCTTTTGCAGGCTTCTCGCTTCCCAGCCAGGCAAGCAATTTGATACCATTGACATAAATACTTGGCCGCTCTGTATCCCAGGCGAAGCTAGGCCTGAATGTATGTCATGAAACCTTGTTCACCTGGTGTCTGAACACAACATGTGTCCGTTCTTTCATCTCGAAATAGCACACCAAGCCCAAACAGTATCACCTTCGCTGCTCACCCGCAACAATGCAGGCGCCGTCATCTACCTCAACCTCGATCTCGGCAATTGCATATGGTCAATCTGCCAGCTGATCTACATTTGCAACCGCTGTGACAAGGATCATCCACGTAACAAATATTCCCGCAAAAGTTCAGCCGCCAGCCCAGTAGTTTAACGGGATCACGATCCCAACATGAACTGCAAATACCTGTTGCATGCGTTCATAATCTTCCTTTCCCATACTCTGCTCAGTACGTCTTAACGTGTTAAATCAGATACTACTAGTATGGCCCCACCTCAGCCAGTGTATCTTGTGAAGCTAGGGATCAAAAGTGTGTTCCGGCATATCCCAATATGTCCTGAAGACCACCCGCTATCTGTCATATTCTGGCAAGGCAGTCAATAGTACGAACGTGCTCTAGCATTTGGATATTGCTTGAACTCTGCCAATCTCTTTGATTCAGTTGCCTCAGACGTAGAGTGGATTGTCAGTAACCATTTCTTTAATGCCAAGCTTTGCAACTCCTATGACGATTTTCTAAACATTTATACTGGCCAAGCTGTTGCACAGTGCTAATTAGTAATCCTGCTGTGGTCCTTCCTCTATCTATTTGTGTCACTAGCGCCAGCAAAGGTGGAAGGTTCTGTGAGATCATTGACTTAACTCGGTATCATCCTGGACTGTGTGCGGCCCTAGGCTAGGATCTTCATGTTGGTGTTGGCCAGCACAATCAGCAGCCAGAAAATATCCAACACCAACTCGAATCCCTATCGGATAAGCTCTCGTTTGTTGCCCATGTCATTCCTCCTAATAGCACCTTATCACTGGACCTCCAGACTACACACAGATGTAAGTGGCACCCATTGATGAGGTGCTTACAACAGGAAGTTGACTCAAGGTTCATGGAACAGCACCCACAGTGACATGCTGCAGTCTATGGAGTAGAAGGATGCATATGCCCCTTGTAGCAGCCTGCACTGCAAGGGGTAGCATCAGATTTTGCTGAAACGTCTTCAAGCTTCAAACTCCGCAATGTCATCAATATCAGTGTAAATCAGATGCACACTGCTGGCTCCCAGAATGTCACTGCCGATGGGCTTTCTCCTTCTCTTATGCAGGAATTTCGTTATCATGCTCCAGTAGCCCAGCTAAACCCGGACCATGGTCATCTTCCTGTGTTCTTGTGATCGAAGTCACCAAGTAAACTGCCTGTGCAAATGCTGCTGATATCAAATGCACCACACTCTGCTGGTGAATGTTGTTTTCTTGGTTTTGATCCCTTTGCAATCTGCAACCTTACTCAGCTTCTGATCCTGTCATTTGCTACCTTGCATTTTATTGCTCGCTGTGTCTGTCCTTGTGTGATATATTTTTACTTGGAAGATGTAAGAAATGCACACGTTGAACAGGGTCTAGAGGATCCCCTGGCCAAGACCTGGCTTATCAAGGCAGTGTTGATGGTTGTCCAACAATGACATGTGATTGAGGCAGTGAAGCATATATTGCCCATAACCCTGCTTATTCTAAGGAAGTTTGTTTATGCTCACCAGTCCGTCCCCAATTCGGCTGAGCTTGACTGCGTTTGTCTTGAGTTTGCTGCACTTTCGACATCCGTCGGTTGCTAAGATGCTTCGAATTGATCGAGGGCCTGCGGACAGACTGCATCAAATTTGAATCAGGCAGCATAATCATACTGTTGAAGAGATCAAGGACTGACACATTTGGAAAGGAGTCCAAATCGTCATTGGTTCGGCTAGTCGCCCTTACTTCCCTCTGTACACTACACAACCTGGCAATTATTGGCAGTCAGAATGCAGCTGATCCTCTACATGTACTTACCAATGGTATGCCACTATCCAGAGGTGTTTTTCATCAGTACTGTCCACTTACCAATGGTATGCCGCTATTCAGAGGTGTTTTTCATCAGTACTGTCCACTTGGCAAGGGTATGCCACTGTCCAGAGGTGTTTTTCACCCGTACTGTCCAC